TGCCTATCTCGTGATTTGGAAAGTTAGCATCTTTCCTCTATCCTCACTTGGGAAAGAGCTTGAAGTTTGGAGAGAGAAATTTCACCAAAAGACAGAATTCCTTAACAATGATAATTACTACTACGGAGTGCCAGGTATTTCTGAGAATTGTGTGGTACACTTAGAGAAAAAATACACATAATGATCTTATCTGTGTTGCCACTTACACATCGTATCACTCACTGAATGGTCAGATAGCAAAATAAGTACTGGCAAGATTAAATACTTTACCCAGCCAGCATTAACAGTGGCTGAACCTTGGTGTCAGTCATTTTCAGGTCAAAAGTTTTACCCAGAATTTTGTAAACTTGAGACTAGCCCAGAATATTGATGATTTTCAGTTGGAAACCCTAAGCGTCACTCCAAGAATCTTGACATCGGTTTCTGTGTAGTGTGTACGCCCAACTAGATTGCTTAGACAATGTCTTTTGATCCTTGGTTAATGATTGTATACCAAGAGGAGTGTGATGTTTGTTACTGAACAGTGTAGCCTTAGCAGTACAATAAGGTGAGAAATTACCAGGAGGCAAAAAAAAAAAAAAAAAACCTGAGTTAGGCAAAAAACACATTGAGAACAAGCCTTGCCTTTTCCCAGCTCTCTTTGACAGGTTATTCTATGTTCCCATGTGAAAAATAGATATGAATGAAGATGACAGTAACGATAATTTTAACGCCTACCTCAGAGTAGAGCTGGAGGAGCGAGGGAGATGATGCCCAATGCTTTATGGGCACAAATGTGAGGAAACTTCACAAAGTCCACCAGGAATGCATGGGATGATGGCTTTCCACCATGGAGTTCCACTTTTTTGCACCAAAATAAACTTTATTCTCTTTGAAGTGGCTCTGTTACATGTTAGATGTTCATCTATAGGAATGCATTGGATTCTGATCAAGAGAAGGAATAGAAGCGCTGGGAATCTGTACAGTGCCATGTCTCATGTTCCATTTCCTTTTGTAACAGAAAACACACTTTTTTAAAAGATTTATTTATTTGAAAATCAGAGTTATACAGAGAGTGGAGAGGCAGAGAGGGAGGTCTTCCATGCAATGATTCACTTCCCAATTTGCTGCAACGGTTGGAGTTGCGCTCATCTAAAGCTAGGAGCCAGGAGCTTCTTCTGAGTCTCCCATGTGGGTGCAGGGGCCCAAGGACTTAGGCCATCTTCCACTGCTTTTCCAGGCCATAGCAGAGAGCTGGATCAGAAGTGGAGCAGCTGGATCTTGAACCAGTGCCCATATGTGATGCGGGCACTTCAGTCCAGGGCAGAAAACACACTTTTTTATAGAAGTACCCTGCTAGGTGCCAGCACAGGCCAGGGACCTCTGTAGCACCCTTGCCTTCTAGGGTCTCCAGGTGCCCTTCTGCCTCTTGTTGTCAACTCTGCAGATGGAGAGAGCATGCCTGAATTACTGAGGGTGCACGAGAGAGAGCCAATTATTTAGGCAGCGGTGCTGAGAATGTGGGCAAATGAGACTTTTTCCCAGCAAGATTGTTCATTGTGAAGCCAACACATGATTAGACGTGTGCGTCTTGCCTCGCATACTCCACTCCACAATAAACCTCTTTGCTGGGATGAATATGGATGTGAGCTAATTTAATCAATATGCTTGTGAACGTTGACAGTTGGGGTGTCTGACAGAACTCAGCCTTTGAAATGCTGGCTGCGTGGATGTGTGCAGTATGTATATGGGCCAAGCCTCATAATTTGTGTTCAAAGCAGCTTATTTTGAGAAGACACAACACTGTCTGGTAGAAAATGGAAAAGCCCGTGGGATGAAGAGCAAAGGGATTTTGGTCCTTTTCCTTCTCTCATTGGACTGAAAACTCAAATTTATGGGGACTAAACTGCCTTTCTGTGAAAAAATTTGCAAGGCATTAACTACATCTTTTTTTTCCCCCTCTCTGGTTCATTCGAATGCTGTAAATGGACTAAAAGGGGGGATATAGAGGGCTTTTGTGCATTGTTGGATTAAAGGGAGGGCTCAGTGCTCTGCTCCTGTCCATGAATATTTGCTTTCGAGGAATGTCAATATGTGGACCAGATCACATTCAGACAGTTTGCTTTTGGAGCGGGTGGATTTTAGTCATCTCCTGGAGAGCAGCTGCAACTGAAATTGTCTTCGGAGATGAGAGAGCCATGCTGGGGTCACACTGATAATGGCATGCTCTGACCAATCAGAATCCCTGCACGTGGCTTTGGAGAGCCCTTTCCACACCCTGGCTGTGAGCTCTCTAACAGATCCTGACTCTTTAGCCAATGGTGCCCCCCCCCCCCCCGAACTAAGCGCAAACCCAGTAGGGACAGAGGTCTAGGAGAATGGCCACTTGCGTGGATGTGCACATCCGTCTGCAGTGAGTCCACTCATCCCCTTCATCAAGGATGTGCCCCTGCTCAGCTGGAGGATGCTCTCCAGATCTGAAAGACCCTGGGAGCTGGAACAAGGCTGAAGACCAACGGGTGTAGGAGCCTCAGGTCAGGATTTCTGAGTCACAGTGGCACCAAACTAGGGAGTCTGGGCTGCAGCTCCTCCCCGCCTGCATCCCCTCATCCCCCACCTGGCCATGAGCCCTTCTACGAGCCCAAGTGCTGGCGCCAGGATGGCACTCCTAGGGCCGCCTCCATGGTGGGCAGAGCTCCCCGTCCATAGGATTACCTCAGGCCGGTAGCAGCCATCTTGGTCACTGCCTTGTGCACCCCTATGGCACTTCCCGTTGGTAATCCAGTCCCAGTCCTCGCACTCTCAAGCAGCGTCTCATTTTCAGTCTGATCCATAAACGGCTTCGCTCAACATTCCCGATAGGGCCTGCACAGGCCCTTCATGTTTCAGGGAGGACTAAATGGAGATACGCCTTATCTCCCCGTCTTTACGATGGATGGATGATCCTAACTCTTGAAAGGAGTTTAGCCTTAGTGTGGTTTTAATTGCCTCGGGTAGTTTTGATACTGACTTAAATTATAGGCTGTAAAGAAGTTTCTCTCTCACGGCTGTGATTACACTGTGAAGTGAGACACCAACAGAAGCCATACTGTGGTTTTATTTCAGATGTAAATTCTGTGTAAGAGGTGGTCCCTGTCCTCTGTCCCTGGAGGTCCCGAGTAGGGGAGGCTGGTTCTCATTATAGGCCAGCTGATGCATGTGGGGAAATCAAGACACTAAATCTCAGCCACCTTCGCCTTTCAGACTTTCTCTAATTTCTGGAAAAAACATTGAGCCAAACACTATAGGCAGCTGGAGAGAACCTGGGGCACAAACCCTTGCCATCATGATAAGGCACTGTTATTTTTCCACTAGTTCCTAAAGAGTTTTTCTTGAAGCTGTCAAGCTGGGCAATAACATCGGGAGGCAGAGTTGCAAATGACAGTTTTTGTCCAGTGCTGCCTTAAGCATATGAAGTCGCATAACTCAGACTATGCATAGGCAACAGTGTACAAAGACATCATTGTTGGGGTATTAGAAAGCCTGCAGGTTATGGCAAATACATTGGATGTGAGATTTTTGAATGGCTCCTAAATCTGGACAAGCAAAAACTGAGTATGCCAGCAGCAAAAATGATGGGTAGGAAAAGGACCCTCCTTCCAGAATAGCTGTACTCTGCCAAAAGTCCCCAAAATACTTGAACTAGATCCCATCAGGGGGAGGTGGCAGAACATATATGGTTGACTATGAGGTTGAATCCAGTAGTTTTCATGTGTGGTCTTGGGCATTGGATACAACATGGCATCAAATCCAAAATAAGTGGTTGTGGAAACTGTGCTAGGGTACCGGGTTACATCAGAACAAAGCATGGGCTCTGTGTCTCTGTGTGTTACCTTACACTACACAGTGCATTCCTTAGGGGCACTGCTTTCTGTAAGCTATGAGGAGCTATGTGAAAATGAAATAGACGTGGACACCTGCAATTGTGTTTGTGCGTACAGTGTAGATCATCGGACATGATATCTTATAGTGAAAACCATGGAAAATAAATTTGGTGTAATGGAATCTTCCAGGTACACCATCGACTCTTGCCCTCCTCTCGACACAGCTCAGCTGTAGTCTTTCTTATGTACCATATAAATTCTATTGACTAGGCAATCCAAGCACTTGCTTTTGCCTGATTATTTTATGTTTTTTTTTTTTTCTAATCCTCACTTATACTTTAAATCTCCTCAAGATACAATGTGTGTGCTTAGACATGTGCTTTGTCGTATTTGAGAACTCTGGTGTGATATATGGTAATTATTTGATGCAGTCTTCCAGACTGATTTAAGAAATCACGTGGTGACAAACACGTGCCTACAATACCAGGAAATCAATTTCCACAGTTAAAGAACTCAGCGATGTATCCCATTTGTCGGGATTCATCACTACTAAATTCAGAGAGGATATTAACTTTACGGTTGAAAGATCTGGATCATACACAAACGGACTAATTTTTAACACATGGCAACTATATTAATTTAAAAAAGATGAGAAAGAAATTCTTAACTTACCCTCATCTGTAACTTATTAATGTTTTGAATTGAATCATTTTCCTAAGTAGACCTGACTCTTTGGAGTATTTTTTTTTCCTCCACCAGTTGAGCTGCAATGCTCAGCCAAGACAGATCCATGACCTTTTAAAAATAATGATGGAAAATGAGATCGGAGGAAACATTTTAGGATCTGCTTTGCTCTGAGGCCTAAACTGCGAACTCTCCAGTTCTTGAAGGCTTTGAAATGCTGATTCCAGTCTTCCTGTGGGTTCTTAAACACCTTCTCAAATGACCCATTTTAATAACCCGAAAGCTATTATATAACGAGCAGCCATAATTTAGTCCAGGGCTCCAGGGGGACCCTCACAGTTCAGCAATGAATAGTTAATGCAGTATAATGTTTAGCAGGTTATTAGTTTCCACTATACAAATGCTGATCAGGGAACGCTTTTATAAGGTGTTTAAAAGAAAATGTAATTAACTGGTTGCGTGCTTCTGTTGCAGCTCAAATTGAAATTATTCCATGCAAGATCTGTGGAGACAAATCATCAGGAATCCATTATGGTGTGATTACGTGTGAAGGCTGCAAGGTAAGCCGTTTTAATTGTTGTTGTTGTTTCTATTAATGTTAGGATGTTTCTGATTGCTATTCTTTGCTTTGATATCATCTTAAAATTCTACTCCTTGAAATTTGGAGTGATGAGAAATGACGGGACAGGATAAATATTTTGATGTGAAGTTATAATTAAGGAACTTATATATACCTTTTTATTGCTTCCTTCAAAATAACAGGAGTCTACAGTAAGGTGCTTGAGTGTTGCTCAGGGTCCCTCTGGTCGCAGAATTGGTTGAGTGGATGTGCAGTCGCTGACATCTTCTGTGATGTCCCTAATACAAGCTGTTATATCTGATTAGGCATTTTCAGTAAGTTAAACTGGAATGTGATTGACTCTTACTGCTGGCGCCCAGATGTTAACCCATCTGGCCCAATTATGGGAAGGCTGAAAAGAACTGAGTTCCAGTTCTGGCACCACCGCTTCTCTGTATTATTTTGGGAATGCCTAAATCTTGCAGTGGCTGTTTCTTCTGTAAAGTGGGCATAGCACCTGTTCCTCCTAAGAATGGAACAGGAATATTCTTTTTTAAAAAATGCTCTTGAAATCTAAATATTAATATTGCTGTAATCACTACTTTTATTATTAATGACCTTGATCTTACAGCAATATGTACAGCACATGCATAATGGGAGAATAGGAAATAGAGATGTTTATCCTAGTAATTCAAGACCCCCAAAGCCCCATGGTCTCTGTTATTCAAATTTCAATTTATTAAGATTTAAATCCTCTTGCTTGTATTGGAAAGGCCCGGAGACAGCTTACAGGATAAAACAGTGCAAAATAAACAGGAGAGACGCTATTTAAACATGCAGGGAAGCCTCGGAGACAGCTGATTGCTACAACCAGGCCTGAATCAGCCTTAAGGCTTTTGGAGACCGAAGCAAAAAATGAAATCTATGGGTTTGGGTTAGCTTTCCTGTAGTGAAATTGGAAAATACAGTGTCATCAATGACAGTGTCACCTACAGACACAAATAATTACTGAAAGACTTCAGGGAAATCAGCCTCATCATTTCCTCAATTCTTCGTTTTACCACAGTCATCATTGCAAAGTTCCCTAGCAAATACTGCCTGGTGGTCTCATCTTAGTGAAGCCTGAGATTTGCTACACCCCACTGCAGTTCCTAAATAAGATAAAATAAAATAACACCAGCCTTTCAGGCTACTTAAGGGGATTCTGAATTACTCATCTCTATGGTGACCCTTAAAACCAAGAAAAACGTGAGGTGCTTTCAACTTCCTCAGTCTGCCCTTCTTCAGTCAATAAACTAACCTGCCTGGCCCCTGCCAGGATGGAGGGAAGAGAGGGATCCGCCCACGGCAGCTGTCACTCCATGGACTTTCCGAGTTGGTTTGCTTGATGAGTTGGGCAGCTGCCGTCCTTGACCCGGTAGAAGGGACGTGGCCTTTCCCTGTGACATAGACAGCACTGCTTACCTACGAGGAGGCCCCAGCAGATGGGATTTCTGTGCACCAAATACCACCCAGGTGTTTCCTCAATGAGCAAGGTCCCAGGCAGCATTCTGACCACCACCTCACTCCCTCTGAGTCTGACGTCCAGTCTGCAGTCTTGACAAAGATCCCAGCAGCTGGAGGATGAACTGACAGGCCATTCTATAAAACCCAAGTTGACTATGCATACTCCTCTGTTTACATAGCACGCCTTCTCACTGCCCCAAGAAAACAAGCGGCAGCTCCGAGTGCACAGGTGTCCTTGTTCCTGATCCCCTTTGAGATCTCTTCTGTGTACTATCTCAAGGCCAAAGCCAGTTTCACTTATCTATAATTCTCTTCCTCTGCTCTCTCGACTTTATACAGTGCACGCCACTAAACAATTAAAACGTTATTTTATTAACAGACTGGGCCTGTGCCCAGCCTGGGACTTGGATAGCGTTGTGTGTTTATTCTTGATGCACAGACTGTTTGTTCTGGATTACAGTTTCTCTTTGCTGTGACATTTTTATTCCTAGTTATGGCGAAGAAACTTCTACCATTGATGTTAATTATTTATCACCTTCTACCTAGCTGAAGGGGGTTATATCATGACCAATTGTAAATCACTTATCTCTGTGACAGTATAATTAAACATGAAGAAAATGTCTAAGTAGATATATCTAGTAAGAGGGGAGAAGGTGACTGGGTCATTTTCTGAGCTAACCATTTAGTGAACGTATTTTAAAATGCATTTTAAAATCAACAACATGAAGCCAGAACAAACTAGTGAACCTATGTAACGGCTGAAATAATTACCTGTTTTCCCACATAATTTAAACATTGCAAATGAGCAGCAAAAAAAAGTCAAGTTTCAAGAGTAGTCTAGAAAAACAGAAAGAGCTGCTATCTCACCTTCTCCTCATCCCCTTTGCCACCTGTGGAGAGACTGCTTGTGTTCTGGGCCCCACCATTCCCATCTGTAAAACGGTGGTCACTGTTCCTGCTTTGTATAGGGGTAGCTCATGCATTCAGGTAAAGCACTCAGAATTCCAGGCACGTCACAAGCAGGTACTAAGTGTTGGCTGTTCCAGTCGTTATGAGCCAACTCCTTAGTACCTTGGTAATGCTCTGTATGAGGGTACTTCAGAAAGTTGGTGAAAAGTTGGAATTAAGAAGGTAAGTTTACTCAGGTGCAAGAACAATCTTGCAATCCATGCAATTAAGAAGTCTTCAAAAGGTTCCTAGAAGGACAAGTATTTAGCCTCGTGGTTAACATGCCTCCCTCCAGCATCCAAGTCCATGGGTTCAATACTGGGCTCCAGCTCCCTGCAGTGTCAGCTAACAGATGGGAATTCTTTCTGCCTCTCAAATTTTTTAAAGTTTGTAGAAAATGTCTATTTTTTATGAAACAAACTGTACTTATTTTTTTTAACTTGTGCTCTAATTCCATTTTTCCATGAACTTTCTGAAGTACCCTCATAGGAACCCTCATTGAGTCAGATATTATTTCCAGGATAGTTTGCAATGCATTATGTAGAAGCTGCCAATAAAAACAATAGTAGCATGAGCCCCGCCTTGGAGCCAGGAGTACTGGAAGGGATCCAAAGACATAGAAGACCTAATCCTTCCCTCAAGCAGTTCATGGTCAAGTTGTAGAGAAGAGGATGGCACAGGTGTGAGAGCTAAGAGGCAGCATAGGGAGGGGGCTTAGAGGGCAGTGGCTGAACAAGGTGCCGCTGGAGAGGAACAGAGGCAGAGAAGGACTCGATGTTCAGGGCTGGGGAATGGCAGAGACAAAGCCCAGTGATAGAGAAGTCTGGGTCTGTATTTAGGGGACAGCACGACACTCAGTTTGACTGGAGCCAAGGGCGATTCTCTGTGGGCAGGGGAAGGTCACTGGTAGACAGGTCCATTATGCCCAGGTGATTATAAAGACACTGCACTTGTTCTTTTGAAAGAGTGACAGGACAGCATCCTGGTACTGTTGAGCTCTGGGCACTGCATTTCAGAACATATGTTAAAACCCAGGCCTGGTGGGTTTAGCTCTGTCCTGAGTTGTTGGAACAGAATTGAGTTCCAGGCCTGGGTGAACATGATGGGACCGGGAATGTAAGGTAAGCTGGGGCGGGGGTCAGGTCCTGGGCCGTGAGGGCTGAGGAAAGAGCCCAAGATACCACGAGAGGATGCAGTTGTCGGGGTCAAGGCTCAATCCTCAAAGTAAAGGAAAAAGTGAATTGTTTTGTTTCTCATTCCGTTTCAGTTCCCAGCTTCATCATGACACACAGTGGCTTCTCAGCTGATGGTGATGATAACCACACTCACCCACACATTTTTTATCTACAGCCTTCAGACTTGTGGGTGCCATAGTTTTGTTTTGAAGATTTATTTATTTACTTGAGGAGAGGCACAGTTACAGATAGAGAGGTCTTCCACCCGCTGGGTCACTCAGAAACGGCTGGCGTTGGCCCAGTTCGGAGCCAGGAGCTTCTTCCGGGTCTCCCAGGTGGGTGCAGGGACCCAAGCACTGGGGCCATCTTCCATTGCTTTCCCGGGCGCATTAGTAGGGAGCTGGATTGGAACAGGAGCAGCCAGGACACGCACTGGTGCCATGTGGGATGCCAGCACCCCAGGCAGAGGCTTAGCCTACTACGCCACAGTGCTGACCCCATGGGCTCCCTAGTTTTAATTCTAGGTTTTATAATGTTAATGTACAGTCCAATGCTGGAGTTAGTAAATAGTTTTCTGATTACATTTAAGACTCTGCTTTTGAAAAAGAACAGAGTATCACTTGCTCATCAAGTTTTTATCTTCAATTAATACATTTCAGATGGTATCCTCTGCAAAAGCTTCCTTTTTTTAACAGTTAAAAAGAGGGAGGCATTGTAGCACAGTGGCTTAAGCCATGGCTTGCAACGCCACTGTCCCCTATCAGAGCACTGGTAGGAGTCTTGGCTGTTCTACTTCTGATCCAGCTCCCTGATAGTGTGCCTGGGAAAGCAGCAGCAGACAACTGCGGCACTTGGGTCCCTGCCACCCATGTGGGAGACCCGGGTGAAATGCTGGCTTCTGCCTGGCCTTCCCCCAGCCATTGTAGCTATTTGGGAATGAACTAGCAGAAGGAAGATATCTGTCACTCTTCCTTTCAGGTAAATAAATAAACCTTTGAAAAAAGTAAAGTATTTTCTAAGATATCTAGAGTACATAACTGATCCTTTTACTTTTCTTTTAAGGTTAAAAAGAACTTGCCACAAATATTCCTTTTAGACCCAGATTGTCTTTTTAGAGAATTCTGATGTTTTTATTTCGAGTGTGAAGTATTACCAGCCCTGAACCAATTCTGTCCACTTCTCAATCCTGACCCATTCATGCTAATACTGAACGAGCCACTGAAAATGAAAAATTAGAAGGATAAGCTCACGACATCAAAACATCAGCTCTGGTATATAGAGGTGATAGCATAATGCTTGTTTCCATGCTTGTGGCAGAGATGGGTCAAATCAGCATCAGTGCGACTCGTAGTTTCTAGTTCTCCTGTGTTTG